TAATGTAATCCCCTTAAGTAGGATTACTATACTGCTGTCAATCTTTGTTTGCTGTTAAGTGGTTATAGTTATTGTTTGGGCTTTGTTACCCTGTTGGACTCAACACCTGTAAGAACTGGTTAACATAAAGTTTAAGTCTGGTTTAGGAATCATTAGCTTACAGTTTAATTGAATTAAAGAGACTATTAACGAGCACTTATATTCAATGTGAGTTAAGAGGTGTGATTTTTTTCTCCTTCAGTTCAATAAGACAAATAATTCTTCAACTAAATTAAATATCAATTCATTTTGGCAACAATATCTTGACGCTTTGATTAAATACTAAGCTGTCATCTTGCAATCCATGTCCTGAGCAGAAATCTTGTAATTATGATTTTGTTGTACCTTAATCTGTTTGCCTATAATCTTCCTCTTTTTTTGACAGACTGACATGACATGACATCTGGAGGAGTGGAAAGATGGTTTTAAGATTTATGTAAGAAGGTTTAGAGGCAGTATCCACTGACTGATGCACTTGAGATTGGGAGGAGTTATGGGAGGCTGCATGGTGCCATGGGCGCACAGTTACCCCTAAATCCAGCGGGGCCAAATCCCACGGGACGTCCTCTCTCTCTGACGTGCAGCGGGGGTTGCAGCGTGAGCAGGGGGTCGTGCAGCAGGCGCTACTTTAAAAGCCCCCTCTGAGGATGCTCCATAACCACATGCGCAAGGCGGCCTCGCTGGTGTGCGTACTGCGCGCGAGTTTCCCCAGCATCTCTCAGACTTCACATCTACAACTTTACCAAACAGGACAGAGCAGAAAGACTTGGAATTTGGATTTGGAGCGTGCGTAATTGTCACCATCTTTTAGACCTCACCGACCAATGTGGCTTCTTGGATCACCTGCCCAAGTCATGATGATGATGGATGAGCGCCTGTCTCCCTCCTCACGCTCGGTGCAGAGCCCGGGGAACAACCCGTCCACGGTCCACAGCATCGAGGCCATACTGGGATTTAAAGAGGACACCATCTTTCACAAGTCGGCCTCGTACAGCATGGCGGGAAAAGTTCTGGCCACGGACGCAGAGCGCACCGGGAGCGTCACGGTGACTCCGGGGAAGAAGAGTCATTACGCAGAAAGTTTTGACAGTAAGTGGATTCAGTTAAATGACAGAATCAAGATGATTTAAGAGCAGAAATACATATAGATGTTGTATTTTATGAAGGTTTAAAATCCTTAGATAAAATGGCACTTTTTGTTAGTTTCTCAAGAAAATGTTTTTTGGAACCAGGATTAATTTTCTTGATCTAAAACAAAATGTCTTCAGCAGATTTGAGTGGCATTAAAAATATCAGAGATTACATTAAAAAAGCAACATATAGAGCTGCTTTATTGGCTTTTTCCTTATATATTTCTGGATGTTTCCCTCCTCACTCTGGTTCGTGTCTCGGCAGCTGTGTGCGTCGCTGAAGCCTCGGTGTGTCCGGACTCACCGGACAGAGACGAAGGGAAACTGTCCGATGACGAGAACCCGAAGAAGAAGCATCGTCGGAACCGGACCACGTTCACCACCTTCCAGCTCCACGAACTGGAGCGAGCCTTCGAGAAGTCCCACTACCCCGACGTGTACAGCCGCGAGGAGCTGGCCATGAAGGTCAACCTGCCGGAGGTCCGAGTGCAGGTATGTCCCAGGAAATAAAGACACTTGTCCATCACACTTTTATTTTCCTCCATTTGTAGAATGTTACTGATCATGATAAACTTTATCTATACAGCACCTTTCAAAAGTTACAAGGTGCTTTTAAAGTTACAAATGAAAAATCGAGGGAAACTATAAAAAAGCAATCTGAAGATCATGATTGCTGCTTAAACACAGTGATAATAATTTTCACCATAAACAAAAACAATATTTTTTAATAAATAACAAAGATCTTCAAAAAAAATCCAAAGTAACATCTTTATATAGGTTTTGTCTTTAGCTCAAAATTTAGTTTTGGGTTAAACTATTCAATTGTAAATTAATTAATTTGATTTTAGGAGAAGACTCTTACTTTGAGATTATATATCAATAAAAAACTTCAGAATTCTCTTTCTTATATCCCATTATTTACAAATACTTTAACCCTCCAGTCACTGAAATGCGTTAGTAAAGACATTTTTTTATATTTTTTACTTCAATTTACAATTTGATACATGTAAATGCAGAAAAAGATTTTAACATCATATTTTCTCTTGGTTTGGTTCAGGTAAATAGAAAATGAGGCTTTTATCACAGAATCATTATTAAAAGAAATTGGAAAATTACGAGTTGAGTCACTGTCTTAAAATATTTCTGTCTGGTCAAATATGATTATTGATTGTATCACAATTTGAAGGAAAAAGCTTGAATCTTCACTCATACATCTAACAATTGAATCCAAACATTCAAATAGTAGTAAGGTGTCACTCTTGTAATGTAAAGTGCCTCGAGATAATGTATGCAATGATTTGAATTTAAATACTTAAACACAATTATATATTTCACATAAGATATCTTTACAGTCTTGAGATTTTTATGGTTACTGCCTGTGTTTTTTTTTAGCTGTGTTTCTTTTTCTCTCCTCTCTTTGTCTTTTAAATGACATTCTGATGGCCAAGCTGCTGCATACAGCTCCCTCCACAGGTTATAATGATTTGAAATGCATTGAAAATAAAAATCCTCCTCTTTCTTTCAGGTGTGGTTCCAAAACCGACGGGCAAAGTGGCGTCGGCAGGAGAAGCTGGAGGTGAGCTCCATCAAGCTCCAGGACACCTCCTCATCTCTGCTCTCCCTGGGCCGCTCCCCCACAGGCTCCCTGGGCTCTGGTCTGCAGCTGGACCCCTGGCTCTCCACCCCGATCACCACCTCCACCTCCCTGCAGTCCCTCCCGGGCTTCATCGGTGGCTCGCAGGGCCTCTCAGGCACTTACAACCCTTCTCCTCCCCCTTCTGTGCCCTCTTCCCTGCCGGCCTCCTTCCTCACCTGCCCGGCCCTGGCACACGGCCCTCACCTGCCCCACATCGGCTCTATGTGCCCCCCGCCACCGGTGTACCAGTGCTCTGCTGACCCAAGGAACTCCAGTATAGCCTCACTGAGGATGAAGGCGAAGGAACACATTCAGTCTATTGGCAAGACGTGGTGATGCTGAGTGAAGCTCAGAAATGGACATCAATTTTTTGAAAACGTGACTTTATCCTCCTGATGAGGGAGTTGCAGTATTTGACATTTGAAAAAGTGAGAAGTGCAGTTTGACTTCTAGGATTAGACACATCCTACCCTGACCTTCTGCAAAGGTTTGAAACTATAACTGTACATTTACTGTGAATATATGGAGCTAAATCAGAGTTTTCTGTTTGGTTTTTCTTCTCCTTTTTCTTCTCTGCAAATATTTTTTTTTAAGTTTTTACGTTCATTCAGAACACGTTCATTCCTACCCAGTGTCATGTCACCAATAGAACTGATAGAGATCCCATTTCTAGCCATCAGTATGTGTTTATTCCACTGTTGTAAATGGAGCACTCCTCATTTCCCTTTAGTTGGTTTTGGACTCACGTTTTTCAGTTTTCACCATGAAAGATTTATCGGATGTGAACATTGTCTTTATACAATAAACTCTGTGTGTAAAATCAACAAAGAAAATAATGACTAATCAAGTTGTTCCAGAACATTATTCACATTCAGTGGTTTGTAAATTAATTCTTGAAATAAGTAGCAGAGGAGCATTTATGAGTGACTGATAAACCGATCTTACATGTTGGTAAAGATGTGTAGAGCTTCATGAACCACACTGGAGATTTAAGGCAACAGTGGATGGAAACTCAGCAGACATGGAAAATTATAAATATAGCACCCCTAGTGGTGGATGACTGTCAGTATGCAAATCCAGTGATAAAGGAGAGCTTGAGAGTTGTTTTTGGCTAAAATTTGATAAAAAAAAAATCTTACCCAAAAGAATTTGCAAATGATTTCAAAATCCCTTCAATGATTTGTGTAGATTCTTTGTGTACATCATTAAACTGCAGAATCTCAGCAGACATCAATATGAACAATTCTGAATATAGCACCCTCTAGTGGTGAATGATAAGCAGGCTGGTGAAAAAAATGCTTTGTATATTAAATGAAAAACTAGTGACACTAGTGACTTGTTGGTGTTTTTGGCTGTGATTGTCTTTTAAATGATTATTGTTTCTTACCTAAAATAATGTGTATATGCTGTTAAAATCCATCCATTCAACTGGCAGTAGGGGCTCAAGTAGGTTCACTGTGCCTTCTGCAAATACAATTTTGGATAAAAAAGAAAAGAATCACCTGAAATGTTGTATTATAAAGCTGCAAACCCACTTAACATTAAACATGAAAGTAAAGCAGCATATACTTGCAGCTCAGGGAACGTGTCTTCAACTCCCAGACTTCCTCTCTCTGTGTTTCAGAGAATGTGTTTGTCAACCCATTTATTTCATCCTCATTAGCTCCTGGGATTAGACTCGTAATGAGTGATGGGGTGAAAGTGGCTTGTACTTCTATTGTTTGCCAATCATCCATGAAAAATGAGGGAAGAGAACAGAAGAGAGCGAAAAAACTGTCCCTTGGCTTTAAGAAAAAGATGTGTGTAGCCAAATTGTTTCAATTAGCATTTCCTATTGTGTGTAAGCCCCGAGGGCTAATAACAGTCACCATCATCATCTATCCTACTGTCCTAAATGGGAGTTTTGTTACCTCCGATGGGAGGAAAGCAGCATCGAAGTTAATTGAATTGACCATAATCGTCTTCTTATGATCCCTTCTTATTTGTAATTCTGATCATGTTAACCATTCACACTTTACCTTACTGGTAACGTGTAACATCGAAATGAAACATGCTTGTGCCATCTAGTGGTAAAAACACTGGAGTGAACAGGAGTATTACTTTTAGATAATAATGTTTGATAAATATAAGAAATCACTTCTTTTGGCAAAGCATGATGAGACGTCAACAATGCAGTTATCACAATGTTAAATTTATTTAGTTTTATTGGCTTATGTGACATATAGTTTTCAGGCCAGTCTGTTGTCAAACTGCTGTATGATTTAGAAATTTGAAATCACTGATTAAAATAAACTTCCAGTAGGTTTCCACCATTTTCTCACAGCAGAAAAAAAAACAGTCAGTGTGGATGTGTGATTACAGTGTTTAGTAGGTGATGGTGGCTGCTTCTCAAACAGAATCCGTCTCTCCTTCAGGTGGAGTCGTTGCCTCGCAGTTTCAAAGCCAGAAGAAGCAGGTCTGACAGCTGCGATGAAATGGAGAAACACACACATTATTATTTTATTTCCAGAACACTTAAAGATCAATAAGGAGGTAAAGTCCACAGTCTGACCTCTCTGAGATATTTGTCTCTGTCCTCTTCTCTCCAGCCGATGTGCAGTCGGAGCAGCCGGTCTGTGGTTTGTGGCTTCATCTGGTTTTGGTTCTTCTGTTGTGTCAGAGCCTCCATCAGGGGCTCGAATCGGTCCAGCTCTGGGACTGTATCTGAGGGGAGGAGGTGGTCACTGTTGGGGTTCGTCCCCTGCACGTCAGCAGGCAGGCTCTCAATGCTCTTCTTACCCATCAAGTGACCTGGATGGTTGGATAAAGATGCATGAGGATTGATCCGTATATATTCTGATTAAACTTCATGTAGGCTAACCAGAATTATCTAACTTAGTATTAGTCTATAAGTGATCAGTCATACTATTATTGAACTGCATGTGGGCGAACAAGACTCATCTGTAATCACACTGTAATAGTAATAGTATTGTAGTGACAATATAAATACCCTCATTTCACCAGGTATTAAGGCTGGATGGTTGGAAAACTAATGCAGAGGCTTCAGTGAGGTTTCATATGAAACAGCTTTCCTGTCTGAAGGGGACACTTTTCTTAATTTAACTTAATTCATTGTTATTCAATTATTTTTATTTAACTATCGTTGTATTTTTCCTCTTCAATTAGCCAGTAACAGAAGCTGAGATAAAAGATTTCCATTTAAACAATGCAAAGGAAGTGTATTTTCAATATAATTACACTGATATGTTTTTTTAAATAAACCAATATGTCTTATTCTATTCAAATCAATAATTTGTTATTCAGTTAAATCAATATGGCTTATCTCTTATGAAATCAATATGCCTTATTTTACTTTAATCAATAACTCGTTATTCAGTTAAATCAATATGTCTGATTCCAATTTAATCAATTACTTGTTCCAATCAAATTCCAGTTCATGTTCCAGTGTATGTATAATTTCAATTAAATGTATGTCTTATATCAATTAAATCAATATGTCTCATATTAATTAAATCAATATGTCTAATTTCAATTAAATCAATTTGTCTAATTCCAATTAAATCAACATTTCCTCTCAGTGTATCTCCTGTGAAGCACTTGAAGTTGTTCTTACCTACAGCCCAGTGGTTGCCTCTTGGGTACATCTTCCCCACCACAGCAGCCGGACTCTCTGAGCTTTGCACCGAGCAGCCTGGTAAAGTGGCCAGAATAATGACAAGTGGCCACAGTCTGCAGGTCCATGGATAACCCCAGCTCACTCCGCCCATGTTACCAGAGGGGACCACAGATCAGATCTATAGACGACACCTGTATGGATCCTCAGCCTCGGGGAATCAGCTCGATGTAACTTCAGCAAACCTCCACCACAGTCCACTTAATGTTGTGTTTAATTGAGTGAAGAGCAGAGGAAGAGCAGAGGAGGAGGAGAGGAAGAGGAGAGGAAGAAGAGAGGGGCGTCGGTCCGAGCTGCGGACTTGTTGAAGTTGCACTCCCGGTGCCTGAGACAGAAAAGCACTAATGAGGAAAGTTCAGAGACCCCCACCCCCCCTCCTCCTCCTCATCCAGATCCAGCTGCACGTCAGAAGCTGCTTTTTTTAAAAGTGCTGTCAGGACGAGAGGGAACATGAGACTGATGATCATCATCCATCAGCCTGTAATTATCACCACTGCTCTTTGCTGTTGTTTGTCCAGAGCTGGTCAGCGTCACGTCACCGTGATGGACGGCTCTAATCACTTCCGTTTCATCCGTCACAACAAGGATGTGCATGTGCAGGAGGAAGCTGGAAGATAACCAGTGATGACAGAAGAACTCGAATGAAAAGTATTGCTCGTGCAAAACGGCCACTCTCAAAATGATTTTACATCCAGTGATCAAATGGTTTATGAGGCATTAAATCAAACTTCAGAAAAATAAGCTGTTTTACTGCACAACTGTGATAAGAACTATATCTTTGAGAAAAAGTTATTTGACGCGTGCATTGACTTTTTAGTTTACCTGTCCCCATCCACTAACATGGAGGAGGTAGAATATGTGATATATCCTGCAACCAGAGGGCGATAGAGATGATTTGGCTTCACTTTTGGGGGGGCAGTCACTTTGACAGTCATCTGCTAATAAAGAAGAATAAAAGATGTTGTCATGTGGTGTGGCTACTTATAAAATGAGTGTGTTTCTGATGGATGAACATACCTCCAACATTTTTATATCTTTTCTTTAGCCTTTGAATCAAGGTGTAACTATGATGATTTCAAATTAAAACAAAGTAGTTGTAAAATCTCTATCTGCAAACTAAGCAGATTGAAGTACAGCTGTGAGATAGTAAAGTAAAAAGTGTTGGATCTGCCACCGACATGGAGAGGAGTAGTAAAGCAGCAATCAAGTAAATGTTTCTAAAGTACTATAAATATAGTTATTGTCTACACTGACTTAACAAATCAGTGTTGAATCCAAACATCTGTGTTGCTTCTATTTGTTTTATTTTGAAACATTCTGTGAAATTCCCCGTGCTATTGTGAATAAAATGCAATTTCCCAAACATCCCCTTGTTTTCAGAGCTATGGAAATGACGCAGAATTTTAAAAAATAAACACAAGTCAAACAAGATGCCACGAATGACGATGAGGAATATTTCTGCTGCAGACAAATATTTGGCAATGCATAATACTTGTTGTGCGTGGTCCACATAATTTATCGGCACAGCTTATTAAAGTGTATTGAACCCTCTGGAAAGGTCAACAGTGTGAATTAAACGTCCCTTAAAAAACAAAGCAAACCCACGTTGGTGCCTTGTGGGAAATTCTCATACTTGACTGATCCCTTTCATTACAGTATTGACACACAGATTGGAATAACAATAGATGAGGACAGATAAGGAGTCCATGCGCTCTGTGTCCGTGTGCGTTTGCAGGTGTATAGTAACATTTTGTGTTGAAAAGGTTAAAGGTTTCCTGTGGGCATTATCCACTCACACACCCCGGCAGGATATTAGAGAGTATGTTGGGCTCAGAACGTATCATATCCCCGTCCGAGGCTGACCTTAACCAAACAGGGTGAGTCACCACATGGTCAAAGGGCAGCGACAGGTACAGAACTCACAGAGCGATGCCATCTGGAGTATTTGTTGTTTTGTGTTTATGTGAGGCAACAAGATCCTGCACATGATCGTGCACCAAGATAATGTTCTGAGAAACATAAATGCAAAATTCTCTGTGAGGTTATTTCCTAAAATTGTTGCTAATAAAGAGGTTTAAAATTGTTCGTACCCATATCTGAGTTATTAAAATTAAAAATGAACTGCTCTGGTATAATATTTACTTTACTTATGAAAAACCATTGAGTATATCTTTAAAAATGTCAAAGGTACTGCATAATTGAAGGTATCCACTTGCCACATATTGAGATGCCAAAGAGTTTTTATTCTTCTAAGTACTCACGAGGGCTTTGAAGGTTTTTTTGATATATGTGCTGAAGAACCTGCTGTTCTCCATACAATGTTCTCTGCTCTGTGTAACTTCAATCTAAGTAAAACGGAAGAATAAAGACAAGTTTTGTATCCAGTTTTACTCTTAATATTCCATTTCGTGATAGGGACACTAGGTGGCACTGTGGGGTGAATTACGGAAAGACTCAATGTGTTCTATAATGATTCCAGTGCTGTGATGATAATAACTTTTTAGAGTTTAATCTATTTTCAAAACATGATGAAAAATATGTAGATTATAGATTAAGGACTATATATTTCATTTAGAATTGATCATTTATTTATAATTTATTGATAATAAATTGCATTATTGTCATTTGCTACACACGACTTTTGTACATTAGCACACTATGTTCTTTACTGTTATAAGTTTCCTTGGGGTAATTTAACCATTACAGATGAACAATAATTCTAATGATAAAAACATTTCTATGAGTGAGCAGGGAAAATAACATCCTGTCCATTTCCTATTCATACCATTCATTTTCTCCAAATGTCACACAATACACTAAGTGCTCTGACTGCAGGGTCATGACTGTAATGATTCTGGTTTGATGAAAGTAAAAATGAGTCAATTAAAGGAGGCCTTTTAGCCAGAACGTGTCAATTACAATGGGCAGTTTTTCATAATGAGATCTCTGCTGTCACTGCTCCGACCAGGGGCCTCCGAGGTGGCGGCTGGATTTAAAGAAACAAGTAATTATAGTTTCATGTTGCCACACTGGAGACTGAAAGAGAAAGATATAATGTCTGAATGATTCATCCTTGGTTTACAAGTCAACTCAATGCAAGTTCAAGGTTTAATATTTCAAAATGCTGTTTTCCTCTTTAATTTGCTTTACAGTCCTGTAAACCATCTTATTTGTCACGATCTGACAATATCATGTAGTCTGTTTGTGTATTCTGCATCAGCTTGTTCCAGCTGCAGCATAACAACAGTGAAATGTTCAAATCCAAGACTCCATGTTTGCATTGCTGCAAATATTCTAGATGTCTTCTACCATGTCCCCAAAATGTGCACATTGGTGTCTCTGCTAGGATTTTAAATTGCATTTGAACTGGTTTGAACAATATTTGGCTTTAAAACATCAAGTCGACTTACTAACATTTTTTCAGGATACTATAGTGTATTATATTAAAACTGGATATATTTAAAGGCCAGAAGTGACCTTTAAAATTCATTAGATAAAATAATCTGAGGCAGTGGCAGATAAAGAATTAATCTAAAATCCAGGGGCAAAAAATGTACACAGGGGCCAATTATACATCCAACATCCATGGAGCATTTGTGATTTCGTAAGAACATTTTAGCTATTTATTGTTTAATGTTCACTCTATAGCTTTGAGCAAAGCCACACGTCATTGATATATATATATATGATGATTTTGTGCTTGTAATTTTGACAATTTGTCATATTCAATGTTAGTATTGTTTGAAAGTCACTCGTTTATTTAAGAAAAAAATACTACAGCTGAGGCCAGTGCCCCCCTGGCTCCCACCCCTGGATCTGCCCCTGGTAGGATGATAAAATCCTTCCTTGATTGAAATGCTCATCACTCATAATGTACTACTAACTAATAATTTAATTATGCAGGACATTATGGAGATGATGTTAGGATTAGGGCACATTTGATAAAGCTGTAAAACACAACAAATTTTAGCTCTGACAAATGCTGATACTATACATTTACTGTGATATTCCATACTCAGATTATATAATGAAAACATGTACTGTGAATAACAATACAGGATGACCTGAATCCCATTTATCACGGTCCTAAGCTTCGAGTGATACAACTAAACATCTGCATCTTCTATAGAAAAGGCTGGAATCTAAAGAAAATGAGATGGCAAGCTTGTGGCAGCTTCCCTTTGCTGCTGCCAGCCGACATGAATGGAGGCAGCGTGACGTCATGTGTGCTTGTCAGGGGTGGGGAGTGCTGCAACCTCAGCCTCCTCTCTGGATCTGTCACACTGTGGAGAGGCAGGAGGCACCATGAGGGCCTTTAATGATACATGTGCACGTCTCCACCTGCCCCGCAGTGTATGAAAGTGCATCTGTTTGAATAAATCTGTGCACGGCCCTTTTGCATAATGAAGGATAATTAGCTTATGTGCTGCAGCATTTCATGGCTGCTGCCAGATGTATGAAGGACTGGTAACAGGCCAAAGAGAGACAGGCTTACTCTGCTGAAAGCCTCTTCCTGCAGTCTCACAGGTAGGTTATGAAATATTTTTATACAACCGTGTTTTGCTATGAAAATGATCTCACATAATCTGATTTAGAGTGTTTGATTACCTTGTTATTGATCTGCTCATTTCTTTAATAACTGTAGCAGGACAATGCTACGGTGATGTGAAACGGGATGAAATGAATTGAACTGTGTGAGAAAATTATGCCATTGCAGGATATGCATTATGTCACAGGCTTTTAAAGTGAAAGGTAGCCTTATTCTCTTGCATTGTGTGTTGTTCTTAATAAGAACAGGCAGGAATACAAGGCACGTTTACAAGGCTTTCATTGGAAACAACATAAAAATCAGACACAAGACTCTGTAACCTTGGCATATGCATGTAGATGGGCAGTCGGGCCTAAACAGAGGCCTTGGCTATTTATACGTCGTGTTATTAAACATTAAAAGATTATCCTTGAAGGTGAAGGGTCAGGATCAGTATTAGTTCATCAGCACGATCCTGGGAAATCATCTTTAAGTCAGATCATCTGCTTATGCTACCACAGGCCTGAGATGTACTGCACATATTCAAGCCCTCATGCTCCTGCTCCTTTTCCTTTCTTCCTCTCTATCTCCCCCACCTTCCTCTGTCTCCTTCTCCCCCTCTCTCTTGTCTTTCTCTGCACCAGCTGCTGCTGCTGCCGCTGCTCCAGAGCCAGAGTGGAGAGTCCCCTCACCCCCCAGCACATTCACACACACACACACACACACACATACACACACACAGAAACAAAAGGCCTGATACCCTGCTGAACACTGCCCCCTTTCTCCATCCGTCCCTCCATACACGGCCATGGTGGCGGTGTTGGGGGCACAGGGAAAAAAACAAGGCCTGGACTGGGACTGAGCACGTCTAGTACTGACCCAGTGGACGAGAGGGGAGAGGGGGGAGGGAGGTGGAGGAGAATGGTTGGAGTTGAGTGAAGGCAGGTGTTGAGGCCTCTGCAGGAAGACTGTTTTTCTGTCCTGAATATCCCTTGAGAGTGGAAAAAAATCTGACCAGGGTATGCCACATTTACCTCTATATGCATATATGCATGAATGTGCATGTTTCTGTGTATGTGTGTCTCTGTGCTGGCACATGTGTGGTAGGTTTGGCATGTGTTTGATGGAGAACAGGGGGAGGGAGGTGCATGCCCATGTCAGATTGTCTATGTTTGAGGCTTTTAGAGATCTTCTCTCTACATCTTGTTGCTGTGTGTAAAGCTGCTGGGGGCCTACGTGACATTTTTTAGTTTTCAGAGAGACGACCAGCATGTGTGGGGTGAGAGCACTGAGGGATCTGCCTAAGAAACAGGCCAAGGCACTGGACTGAGCTTCTACCATCACGGTTACCTAAACTTTCTTCTTCTCTATAATGTGTTGTCATCCTTTTCCACAGCATTTTTGTGTATTTCTTACATGTGACATGTGATTTTTGTTTACATTGTGTTATTTGTATCATTTAAAATTGTTGTCCTGATTATATTTTATTATTTTTGAAGGTGATTTTAAGGCAGTGCAAGCCACTATTGTGAATCTCCTCCATCTGTCTGTTTAATGTTGTGTGTTCTTGTTTCACTGCATCCATACGACAACATTCATGTAGTTTGGTGCAAATGTCGCAGTGTTTCTTGGGAGGTTGTCTCAGTGCTTCTGCCTGTGTGTTTCCGAGGCCGTGCTGCAGCACAGGGCTTTTATGTTGGGTGACCGGAACCAGCTGAAACCGGTTTGAGGCAGACAGAGGGCTGACAGGAACAATGCTGTCTCTGTGCTCCTCTGAGGGAAAGGATAGCCCAGGCTACTCCATGGCAGCCCATCACATCTCAGCTACTGGCCACCATGGCACAGACTCAGACCCTGCTACTGCGGCTCACCGCTGGCTGGATGTCGCCTTGCTACGCAGCACGTCGAGGGGAGCAGGAAAGATTTTGGGGAAGAGAAGAGGGCAGGGGGACGGGGGCCGGCCAGGAGTCTGTGAATCTGCAGCCTGGCGTCTGCCTCATACACACATGCACACACACAGGAGCATGATCTTTCTGTCTGTTTGTATGTCTTTGTGCTGCTGATGGTGCAGAGAGTGACTAAGGAGGATCCTCACCACAGGACCACCACCACTCACCAAAATCCATGGATGTAACCTGACCCTGTGTTCTGGGCCTTTTCGTGGTTGGGGAAGAGACAGGACTGTTTTTTCCAGGCAGGGTGGGGTGGATGGCTTTTGTGGGTTAGCAGTGTTGTGACTGTGTTTGTTGCAGGATGGAAGGAAGAAGGAAGGGAAGGTTTGGCTAGTGACTGGAAAGGGACGGAGGAAAGAGGGTGAGGAGTGGCTGATTCACTTGCATGTTTCCACATTTGATATTTTACTTATCTTAGACTGTGGTCGTCTTTTTCACTGTGCGTGTGGGTTTCAGGTGGTAACACTGCATGTGCATTAAACTGCTGTTGCTGGGAGGAGGTTGTGTGTGGTGTATTTGTCCTGTTTGTCTGTTTTTAACCATCACTGACTTCCTGCGTCAGGCTGCTGTGGCTGTCATGGCTGTTACTAGCTCTTCTTTCCACCAGGCCTTTCTCTCTCTGCTGCAGCTTCACACAGCTCGGGCAGCCATTTTTTTCTCCCTCACTGTATTTCTCGCCAGCCCTTTCTCTCTCTCCAAAAACATTTCTCCCTCTGTCCCTTGTCTCGTTTTCATCTGAACCTCATCACCATCATACCTCCCCGTCATCTGCATCCAGAATAGTTGCAATTGACACCAAGATGCATTGAGAGTGTCAGATGTGGTTCTCTGTGTGTGCAGATGTGGCTGCCATGCATCTAAATTCAGATGCACAAACAAGCAGAGCAGCTCCATGGCTGTGTCTTTTGTCCCCAACATCAACAATACACACTTCAGTCCCATCACATTATTTACAGTGCTCACTGTTAAAGTACATAAAGACCAGTTTCTGAGCAATTATAAAAAACTGAAAGCAAAGAGCTCCTTTTAAAATATACATTTTCCTTATTGAATTCACGACCAGAACACGTTCTGTGTTTTTGATACATAAAAATAAATGTATTGATACCATTATTCTCCTGAGTATAAAATAATATATACATATATATATTGCAGTATATATAGAAAACCAAATCTGTATTTCAAAATATTAGGAGCAGGTCTAATTGCACATGTGTACAGTTGCACAGAGCTTTTTATCTGAGTACTGTTGGTCATGGGGGGGGGAGGGGCATTCAGCTCAGTCTGCTAATGCATCAATGAAACATCAAGCAGCACAAGGCCGTGACTAAGTCATGGCTAACGTGACATTCCCCAGGCTGCACTGTATGTGGACACTGGCACACCATGTGGTGACAAATGAAACTGCATAACTAAGGACTGATGTTTATCTGCTTAGTCTGAAATCCACCACAAATTATATATGTATTTTTTTAAATAAATATTGTGGAAAAAATTAATATTGTGAATTCTGTGGCTTCTACACAGATAATAACAAATGACAGATGTGTGTGAAAATACCCCCTTGCTGAACCTTTAGAGTTTTTATTGATTATATCACAGCAATGGAAAGGAAATATTTTTTTTCCATTCTTGCCACCTCATCATTGACAAAACATCCATCAAAGCTTGATGTCACAATATTATTATCCAATAAAATTTTCCAATGCACTGAAAAGCTGGAAAGTTTTCAATTGATGATAAAAAAAAAACACTTTAAAGAACTCTTTGGTTTAACCTCATATTGTGATACTTTTCACTTTTGAGATATTTTAAAACTATAAAATGAATACACAGAGGAAAAGAAAAATACAGAAAACAGGAATAAAAAATGTCTCATCTCAAAAATTACTACCTAACCTTCCACTTTTTTCCCAGTGTTCACATTTAGAGCCATAAATGAGTGTAAAATCATAATTTAGGTGAGTCAAAATCTTTTAATGGTCGATCCTGACAGAAATAAAATATTGTATCCTGACAAACTATTGCTTGTTATGAAACATGACAGACAAAAGATGTATTGCTGTCAAGATGAAGGAAAATAAGTATATGAGTTGTAAGTAAACATTCTGCATTTAAGAAATGTGCTGAGCAGCTATTTCGATTACAGTCAACAGTCTGTAGTATATTTAATATAAATGGTGCTATTGATTGCCAAGTTACATTGCATCACTAAAAAAAGACCTCACTTGGGATAATAGCAGACTGTGGATGAAGTTGGTCAGCATGTCTATCCATCTTTTACACCTTAACTTTAGAGTTTGGCTGGCAGGTTAAAATCTAATTATGGAAATTATATTCAATATAATCTATCAATATGTGTACTTTAAATTATATATAACCCTAAGGCCAAGTGTCAGTTTTGGGCACACAATATTTCTTAGTCTTATCAGCCGATTGCCATAACATTCAGCATCATAACTCAAGAGATCAAATGTATTAATACATTATGTCAACCTGTGACATGCATGTTGCAGGAGAAATAAAACAAATGTGATTACATTAATTTATGTTTTCCCTCTCTACATAATTTGTGTTGCTAATGATTCTTTTATCTGTGTTCCCTGGGTGATCTCCTCATCAGACCAGGATCAGGACCATGGGAGATATGAAGACGCCGGACTTTGACGATCTGCTGGCGGCTTTCGACATCCCCGACATGGTGGATCCAAAAGCTGCTATTGAATCTGGCCATTGTGACGAGCGTGACGGACAGCTCAAGCAACCCACTGGGGTGACTACCAATGAAGACGAGGCCCACAACACCTCAACAGGACATGACGTTGGCGTTAGTGTCATTGTCAAGAACATGAGAAACACAGACAAAAGGGAACACGGTGAAACCGTATCAGAAAGGGATTTCCACTCACATTCTCAACCCCATTCTGTTGGCACTTTCAACAGACTTCATAATAGCTTCTTAACAGGTTTTCCTCAATACACCAAGAATGGATGGAAAGCTCCCAGAGAGGAAGGACAGCCAATTAACAACCAATCATCCACCTACAATCAGTTCAGCCCCATCTCCAGTGCTGAAGAGTTTGATGAAGACGATAAAATTGAGGTAGATGAACCCATGGACAATCGGGTTGGTCAGACATTCTTCAGGTCATCAGCTAAGAGAGAGGACCAGAATCAAAAATCACCAATATCAGACAATGTGTCTAAGCCCAGAGCAAACAAAGACCAAAAACCTGATCAAAACAATAAAAATGGTGGCAAAGTGGAAGAGTCCAAGTCTAAAAATTCCCGTCAGTCAAGTTTACTCAAGGGGGACCTCAAGTCTTGCAGTAAGGAGTGCAAGGAGTCTGAAGAGTCATCAGGACTTGTGTCCACCACCTCCCCGGTCAAAACTAAGTCCTCTGCAAAACTGTCTTCTTGTATAGCAGCCATAGCAGCCCTCAGTGCCAAAAAGGCCAATGCAACAGACTTAGATGTTTTGGATTCTTCTCCATCACATAAAGAAACCAACAAGTCCAATGAAAACCCTGCTGCTTCGGAGAAGCCACAGCAACATGAGTCAGCGCTAGAGTTTGCAAAGAGACTGCTAACAAGACCACAAGACAGTCCCTCTAGTGTCACCAGTGAAGGTAGCAGCAAAGGTTCCCCATCCTCAAGCATAGACACAACACCCGTCATCCCAAAGGTCAGGATCAAAACAATCAAGACCTCATCCGGACAGATCAAGCGGACTGTCACCCATGTTCTCCCAGAGTTTGATCCTGACGGCCTGAAAAAAGGAGACAATAGCACATCTGTCATGGCAACTACCACTGCAATTTTCTCATCTCCCACGAGGCCGCCAACTACGGTAGTAGCCACCACTGGAGGACCTTCAATAGAAATAAGCAAGCAAATGACTATTAAACCTGTTGCAACAGCTTTCCTGCCGGTATCTGCAGTCAAGACAGCCGGTTCACAAGTCATCAACCTTAAGCTGGCTAACAACACCACAATCAAAGCAACAGTCATTCCTGCTGCATCAGTGCAAAGTGCCAGCAGTGCCATCTTAAAAGCTGCTAATGTCATCCAGCAACAGACTGTCATGGTACCTGCCTCCAGCCTAGCCAATGCTAAACTTGTGCCAAAGACAGTCCATCTTGGTAACCTCAACCTCCTGTCTCAGACTGTTGCCTGTGATCTCAAACAGGCCCTGACATCCTCCAAGCAGAGCCAGCAACCATCACATGTCAAACAGCAGACAGTTCTTATTGGCCAGGCCTCAAAGAAAGTCTCCAGGGTTCAAGTAATCACTAGCACTCAAGGTTCTGTAGTGGACGCCTTTAATAAAGTCCTAAGTAGCATCAATCCTGTCCCTGTATATGTTCCAAATCTATCCCCGCCAACCTCAGCCTGTATCTCTCTACCCTCACGTGGCTACAAGTGCCTGGAGTGCGGAGATTCATTTGCTCTTGAGAAGAGCCGAACACAGCACTACGAACGTCGCAGTGTGCGGATCGAGGTCACCTGCAACCACTGTGCCAAAAGTCTTGTGTTCTACAACAAATGCAGCCTCTTGTCTCATGCCAGGGGCCACAAGGACAAAGGGGTTGTCATGCAGTGCTCACATCTAATTCTCAAACCCATCCCTGCAGACCAGATGATACCCACATCATTGTCATCAGGCTCATCCAACATCACTGGTACCACCACAATATCCCAAGCCCAAGCACCCACAGGTCAAATTTCAGGGAAAGGCACTGTCAGTGGGTCCCAGACTGCAGTGATTTCTGCTCCATGCAGTGCTCCTTTTGTGGCAGCCATGCCCTTGGAGGATGATGCATCAAAGCTCTGCAGGCACAGCCTAAAGTGCATGGAGTGTAATGAAATTTTCCAAGACGACAGTTCACTAGCCATGCACTATCAACAGGCACCAGAGTCCAGTGGACAGGTGTGTGGATGTATTTATGATGTTAACTCTGACATTGAATTGTTCCATTTAGTTTTTGGGATTGAAATGGAAATAATCAATTTAGCTACTGCAAGATGTAATAATTAGTGTTGTTGATGTTTATGGCCACTTGGGGGCAGTGAAAACAAGATGTAACTATATTAGGTTGTTATGGGGAGACTGTTAGCAAAAAAATTGTCTATTTACACATGCAGCAGACATAAGGCAACATTAACACTGATTTTGGAGTCACCTGGCAAATGCAAGTCCTGTTCACTCTCTGTTTTTGGTCTCCACACACCCCTGAGAGAAATATCAAGTTTTGTTGCAGCTAAATGCTTTACTGAAGTGTTGTAGCCAAAAGTTAGGAGCCTGCTCTAGCTGAAAACTATAAGTGCAGTGAGAGTGAACCAAAATTGTGAGCTGGACTGGTAAAGACTGAGCAGAAATCATAAGATGAAACTCACGTTAAAGCTCTGTAAAGCTGAGTCTGTTCACTCATATTACTTTATCGTTTCATTCTAGTGTTGGGCCAAGGTTTTGAGATGTGTGTTGCAGTAGTACATTATTTCTATTGGCACTAAGTAACAGAAGGTAGTTCCAAAGTAAACTGGTCAAAAAGAGATCTGTGTAATATCATAATTAAGTAAATACTTTCTGGAAATACATATTAACCCCTCAGGATGTAATCATTTTCTTTGATATTTTTTTTTCCTTTGTCTCTTCTGTACTCACAGAAAACATGCACTATTTGCCAAATGCTTCTGCCGAATCAGTGCAGCTTTCAGTCACACCAGCGGATCCACCAGCACAAGTCTCCTTACATCTGTCCTGAGTGTGGCGCCAGCTGCCGATCTGTCCACTTCCAGTCACACGTCACCAAGAACTGCTTACATTACACCCGCAGAGTCGGCTACCGGTCAGTCTACCTTTAGTAGAATCTAATAATTTTAACATACACTAAAGTCCTCACCTGTGGTTCTAAACTGTTTCTGAAGTCCCTGTTTTTTGGAAAGTCCGATCTGAAAAACAAGTTGACTGTATTCCCCATAGAGTAGTGTCCTTCTTTGTTAAGTGGTTATTCTCTGATTTAAATGGCTCTTGCTTTTCTTTCAAAGTGCCACTTACAATGTCATCTCTAATTACACTTTATATTACATTGTGTTTGCATCAGCTTGACAATTCCACATCACTTAAAGTGATTTTTTAAAGAAAATAGACAGTTACCATTTTTATGTGGAGTCACCCAAAATACAAACCATTAAAAACTGAACAATCAATTATGGTTCAATTATGAGTCTTGTCAAAATAGTATGAAATGAGCGCTGTCTCTGTCTGTAACTGCGTAACTAGCACATGTACTTGCAAAATATTGAAAATTTAAACTTTGAAATTCAAATTTATAATTCTTGCACAAAAAATATTCAAAAATAAACAAATAAATAAAAAAAATATCACCAATAGGACATACTATATTAATTAATGAGAGTCTTTTTTACTCCATGAGTATTGAGCCATCGTAATGTCATAATGGCCGAAGGGGATGATGTGGCACATAGACACTGGTGATAATGATGGGGTGAAGACAATTCTGAAGATATGAATGTGATGAAGAGGAGACACTGCTGGGCTCAACCAAGGCCCTGGATATGAAGACCGGATCTAAATGGGGTGGTTTGGGTTAGCAGGGTCACAGGGAATCTTTGCAATGACAGTGAAACAGAAGAGAGCAGATTCAAAGTTTGCGAGCAACAACTCGATTGGCTGATTGAGATAATGGAGAAATCTGATTGGATTACTGAAATAGCACCCACCATCAGCTGATTACAAAACAGAGAACTGTGAATAAATGAGTCGTAAAGATGGCGTTCCTGATTGACATTATGCTGAGCTTCATTAGTGGCGCTGATTTTATTTTGAACCTTTATGCAGACATAGGCAAAAAGTTTCACCTGTGTCCAGTCTTGATGCTAAGCTCAGCTAAATGACAATACATCAAACCACATTTAAAAACACCAACATGTGAAAATTTTAACAAAATTAAATTTGCATTCACGTCTGTGTGTCTGTAACCTTTTCTCCCTCTGCCCCCTGTCTCCCTCCAGCTGTCTTCACTGCAGCGTGATCTTTGCTGATGTTGCAACGCTGAAGTCCCACATCCAGAGCGCTCACTGTGAGACCTTCTACAAATGTGCTCTCTGCCCGATGGCCTTCAAGACTGCGCCTGCCACACATTCCCATGCACATGTACAGCATCCAGGAGTGAAGGCTGGAGAGCCCAAGTAGGTCTTTGTAAAATGTATGATTTATATAAAATGTAGTTCTCATCGTAATCTGTTTTCATGCAAAATTGAATACAGCATTCAGAAAAGGTTACTGCAACTAATGCATTCTGAAGTACAAACATTTGAATTCAATGCTAAATTCAGGGCTAAATCACAGATAATTCAAAAGCTCTTTCTTCAAAAAGATTCCAACCGCACGTCCCTACATTTCCTTTCACACTTCTCTTTAACCCAATACCCATGTCCAATTCATTTTTCTAAGGCAAACCGTCCTCACTGAGTCATCAGTTGCAGGATTTGTGGGTGTTAGACATGGGGGCTTAACCTGAGTTTGTATTATTCCACGTGGCAACCTTTCCCTGACACTGTCCATCATCAGCACTACTGATCATTCAGGTGTTAAGGAGCAGGTGCTCTGTGTGGGTTCAGTCCCGGTTGAGCCTCAAGCCTAAAGCCGCATAAACATGTGAAATCAAAATTTTTTACACTGAGCTGAACTATAAATTTCAATACAATAAATTATATTTTCATATCCTGGTCTGAAATTATTATATAATCTAAAGTTTCTTTAAAACATTAGGTGCAGCTGAAGGTTTAATAGCTTCATGTGAAACACAAACACTTATTTCAATTTGCTAATAATAATGATTATAACACACAAGCCCTTTCCTCAAATGTATTCCTACGTCACATCATCACTCTTCCTTTCACACTGACATACTTCTCTTTGACCCAATACCCATGTCCAATTCCTTTCTCTCAGGAAAACCTTCCTCGCTGCTTCGTCAGTAGCAGGATTTGTTGGAGTTAGACATGGGGGCTTAACCTGAATTTCTTTTACGTCGGCAAAAGCCAGGGGCCGGAAGCATTATGTTTCTGGGTTGTCCGTCTGTCTGTCTGTCTGTCTGTCTGTCTGTCTGTCTGTCTGTCTGTCTATCCATCACTTTGTCCGTCCTATCCCACTGCCCCATTCTTGTGAACATGATATCTCAGGCAATAAGGGACTATCTTAAAATCTGATTTAAACTTTTAGTTCAGCTCAAGGGTTAAATGATTAGAATTTGCTGCTCAAATGTCTTTTTTTTTACCTTATGAACATGTTTTCTTGAGAACAAATCACAAGTAACACCTGGGATTCGCTTAACACTTCTTTCAGTATGTATGTACAAATTAAGTCTTGTGACATCTTGCAGTAAATTCATAGTACACTGTTGTTTGTATTTTTCAGGTTGATCTACAAGTGCTCCATGTGTGACACTGTGTTCACTCAGCAGTCCCTGCTCTGCACACACTTCGACCAGCATGTTGTCAATCATAAAGTGTCAGTGTTCAAATGCCCTGACTGCTCCTTGCACTACGCACAGAAACAGCTCATGTTGGACCATATCAAAGTAGGCTTGAAGAATAGTTCTTTTATGCATGTTACTGAGTTTAATAATGACTTATGTTCTTAACATCATCATTAAGTCTGAAATTAAACATCATGCAAAATATTTATTTCAATTTTTCAAAGTCAGTCATGTTCAGTCTAGAAATGTGTTAGTGATATCAATTCAGAAATATGATTCAATCTGCTTGTGCGGATCCTTCATCCAGGCCATTCATGGAACCCTGAAGACCATCGAGGGTCCACCAAACTTGGGCATCAACCTTCCTCTCAGCATCAAGCCCACCAATTCTAATAACAGCACCAACAGCCCCAGCAATAACAACAATAAAGATGGAGGAAATGTCAATAGTCAAGACAAGGGAGAAAAGAAACCTTCATGTTCGCCACAAAAGAAAAGTAACAGTAATTCCTCAGCAGTTCTCAAGAGTCCTCCCAGCTCAAGATACACATGTGGGGACTGCAGTACCCCCTTCAGTTCCAGGGAGGTCTTTGTGGCTCATATGAGGCGTGAACATGGCAAGGTGAATGTCTGACATCACTCTTATATGCATTGTTTTATTTGATCACATTGTCATGATTTTGAGATCACTGTCAGAAAGTTAGTTTGAAATGGAGAGGATATCCATAATATTTCTGGCATAAGAAAGACGGAAGAAGTGATCATGTTCGGAATGGACTTTTTTCTAGGTCTCATAACGTAAGTGATGTTGTCATGATCGACAACATCACTTACGTTGATAAGTCCCATCTTCTACTGCTACACAATGCTAGCCGCCTGCTCATACAAATATAATCAATATTGAACGCATCATGTGTCCAATTGCACCTAATTGGACATTGCACTTACTTAACAATACATAGTCCAAGTGTGAAGCCGATTAGAAGAACTTAACTTGAGATATGTGAGCCACATACAAGCAGACAGAGAGTTCTGGAATTTGAAGATAGATATTTGATGAAGCATTTCTTTAGGTTACCTTAAACAGTCTCATTCTCATATTGCAGATCTTGAAGAAGCACCCATGTCGACAGTGTGACAAGTCCTTCAGCTCCTCCCACAGTCTCTGTCGACACAACCGTCTCAAACACAAGGGGTTGCGGAAGGTCTACACATGCCCGTGAGTATACACACTCATTCATTGGGCCTCAGCATGATACAATTAAGTGTCCAAACAATTAATGTGTTTAACTGTGGGAGTCACACTCTTGTATGTACAGGAGTTCCTGCTGCTCTCTAACACTACAGTAGCCAATGTTGACAAATCTGCAGTAACCAAACTCGAAAGGCTCTTGTTGTGTAGTTGAAAGCATAAAATGACCAATTATTAATTTCTAAGTTGCCGCTTGATTCTTCGTGTCTTAAAATCCTTTGTCTTTCTATTTACTTGAGTCTTCCTGGTGTTAAAATTGATGTTTTCCTATGTTTTAATAGACACTGTCCAGCTCTCAGTCAGCCCTTCACTAAACGAGTGCTGCTGGATCAGCACATTCAGATGATGCATAACGTCAAAGAACCAGAGGGGAAGACCGTCAGCTCTCAGAATGTTGAGGAATTACCTGAGAAGCAAACGGTACTGTGGCACAGATTTTGAAATTTATTAGAGGGAAGTTCTCCTGTTGGATCATTTCCCTACAAGTGAATTTCATGATTCTCCCGTCTTTACCTAACCTACTATCTTGATCACCCCTACAGACCCCCAGCCCAAAGAGGAAGCCAGAAGAGGATGAGGGATCGCCTGGTTTGAACTCCAGGGGATCAGACTCACAGCCTCTGAAGAGGCTCAAGGTGAACATCCCCAAAGTTCACAAGTGTGCGGTTTGTGGCTTCACCACAGAGGACATCGCTGCTTTCCACAAACACATTCCCCAGCACAAGTCTGATGGCTCGTCCTACCAGTGTCAGGAGTGCGGCCTGTGCTACACCTCCCACCGATCACTGGCCCGACACCTCTTCATCGTTCATCGGCTGAAGGAGCCGCAGGGCCTCGCCCGGTACAACGGCCGGGGCAAGGATGATGATGAGAGTCAGAGGGAGAACCAGCTGGACGTTACGGACGAGAACAACGATGGGAAACCGAACACCAAATGCAAAGTGTGTGGGAAGATGTTTGAAACGGAGGGAAACCTGAACACTCACATGAGGACACATGGAATGGCCTTCATAAAGTCTAAGAGACTGAGTGCGGCTGAGAAGTGAGAAGAACTCACTTTTTAACATTGCAAACAACTTGCAGTACATCGGTCGGCTGTGATTATGCTGTATATAATATACACAATTAATACCACATCATGTATACAATATACTCACAGAAATATGTAATATATGTTGAAGTCAGTGTCTTTAAGTAAATGGAACAAGATACTTTTGTACCCTCATAGATGTTTCTATAGGCCTTGAATAGACCTTTTGTATAGAGGAGCTTTTTATTTTAAACAGTTACCATTGTAGTTTCTCACTAGGATTAAATGATGTATGGATAAATTGGTGTAATATGGGACTAATCCTCATACAGTCAGCAGTGCTCCAAATTCTCAATGCTGCTAATGTCCAATGAATGTCTGCAAGAATATGTTCTACTTGGAGATTTAGGTTTCTCAGAGCATACGCCACAGCTAGCTGAGGTCTTCAATTTCAACTTAACCTCAACTTTGTTTATTTTTACGGATAACAATTTTTTCTCTCTGAGCCATTCCTGGCTTCCAGTGGTCCTGGTCTCCGTCTAAAACACCCTGAAGTAAAACTAAATCTCTACGTTAGATTTGAGTTGCAATTACAAGGAACATCAAAAAATGTTAGGACAATCATTCAAAGATAAATCCTAACTTCAGCTGCATCCCCACACCACCCAGTCAAGTTATTATATATAAATATAAAATGCACATACAATGAAAAGTATGAAAATAGATGGATTTGAAATGAGTTTATAGCTCACAGTTTTTTCAGGTATTGTCTTTTAAAGAGAAACATATGGGCCAAATTTGAATTTGCTTTTAAAACTGCATTTCGAAAAGGACTGTGAAACTTTGTACGTTGACGTTTCATGCTGGTTCTTAATACACTATAAATGGCAGCTCTTTGAGATTAAGACTTGACTAAAACATTTTTTTTGTACCTGAATATTTAAAGCAAAAAACACAAAGCACTTGCGTGTCTTTTAAACAGCAGTTAATCTACTGCTTCATTTATCTGTCAATATAGCACAATAAAAACAAGAAGGGCCCTCAGTAAAAATCACACACACTGATAATTATCATATTTCATCAACACTGATTAATTATTCCCTGGGAAATTTGTCAACATGTTGAAAAAACGTCTAACATAAGATATTTCCTGGATCCATCTCCTGAGCTGGATTTGCACCAAAATGTATTGCATACATTTAATAATTTCCTGAGACAATAAACAACCATCCACCAGTGGAAATCCTTTCAGTAGAGTTTGTGTAATCCTGCTTATAAACAAACAAACGAACAGAAATCTTTCAAAACTAAAGTATCAGTTTTCTGTCATTTTGTTATTTTCTCTTAAAGCTTCTTCAGTTTGTGGTTTATTGTGAAATCATAATGAATGTTGATTGACAGTATTTATGTGCAGGAATGTAAACTTGGCTGTGACACTCATTCAATCAAACCAGTGAACGTAACTTTGGAAGTCGTGTGGAAACTATCTACAGCTTGATTTCCATTGGTTCCTTTTCTTCCAAGCATTTCCAGGTCTCCGTTTTGAACAGTAGTTTTTCTACTCGGACAATAAGACGAACTGTCTTGCGCTGTAAAACTGCATGTGAGAATCCGTCTGTGAATTGTTTGTGGAATAGAATGTGTCTTGCTGCTGCTGCTGTTTTTAGACATTTCTGATGCTTGTGTACAAAGTTGTGTCAATAAATGATGAAACCTGCCAGGGAGCGATCTGATGTCGACTGCACATAAGACATCAGTGCTTCTCCAAGGACCTAAATCACAAATCCTCTCGTGATCATTCATACTCATGCTGCATTTTGATGAAGGGTGATTTGAAATGTGGTTGTACGGCAATATATTGAATGTTAAGTGAATGGACTGAAGTTATAGCCCTTTTCTATTCCAACCAATCAAAACGCTTACTCACATTTATCCAGTCACTGATTGGACTGAAACTGTGTCATATCAAATCAGTGCAGGTTGTTTCCCTCATTGTCAACTGGTAAAATCATTTTAGGACAAGCTTTCCCTCTAGTGGCCAGATAGTGGGCTGTCTGTGGTATTTCCTTTCCCACATTTGGATTCACAGTTAAGATAAGATGATTGAGATAAAAGATTAAATTCAGTTGAGCAATGAAATAGTTGTAGATTTATAGATTTTTTATTTAGCTGAGTCATTTATTCTCTACAGCAACGGGCAGGATGATCAGACCAAACCAAAATAGAGCAACTTCTGTGACTATTTAAGGCTTTTGGAAAAGTGTATTTCATTTGATAACATAATAAAACAAACTAAAATGAGACTGGGACGATGACAAAACATCTGGTGTCCCGTCGGTAATCATGGGACCACAACACTAAGTTGATTTTGCATGGAGACATAATCACAAAGCCTGGATCTCTCTGTCAGCCTCCTCATGTAAACCAATCCTGTTCACACCTGCAGGTGGGGATGATTGAGTTTGCCAAAAGAAGGTTTTTTTTTAAAGTCCAGCCTGAGGATGATTTAATGTGACCTCTTTGAAAAGGGTGTGTCCCTTCCTATATTATTTAAACTCTCCTCTTCTAAGATGTACTTCAGTCCTGAAATGGCCCTGGGTTTTCTGGTGTTCTTTCTGTTTCTAGGGTCTAGTTTAGAGCTGGAAACTACACAGGCATTCAATGTGCCCAAAAAATGTGAGGAGGACACCAACGCTTTCCTCTGGGAACTAAAGCAGGAGAGACCACAGGAATATGCTGTCCGCAGTAAGTGATGCTGCTTTTTGTTTTTTATAAATAAATTATGGAATTGGACAATGTGAGGTTTGTGATAGTTCCACTGATATTAAGTTAGACAACTTTGAGACAAAAGATTTAAATTCATCAAAAAGAAAAGATGCCCAAAAAGATATGGATATTTTCCAAAAAAAATATATGCCGTACTACAACTTACTCAGATTTAAAAGTGTATGTGCACATACATATACTTAAGTGTATTAGAGTATTGAAAATGATAAGATTATTGTAAAGATTACAATGATGGGGACAGTGGTATAGAAATCTTAATTGTTGCAGTAAGATAGACATCGTATTCATCATTGCTGTTTTTAAATCTAATTTAATTTATAATTTGATTTACGTGTTGACTATATATTATAAAATTGTAATATTTTTTTTAAGTTTTAAAAAGTGTTTTGCCTTTTTCTTTTCAAGATGCTTTTAGATGCTTTTTTATTCATGAAAGTAAATAAAAAAGAATCCCCCCCCCCCCCTCCTGATCCTCACCAATATCCTTCCCCCTAATTTTGTGTAAATCTTTCCATTAGTTTTTGTGTAATCATGCTGCTTATGAACAAACCAACAGAACAAATGGACACATGTGAAAACATATTGTCCTTGGTGACATTGCCTTTACGTTTGTGTATTTTGTGTTTATTATCAGTGTATGATGCGTTTGGAAAGATGGGCAGCAATGTTGAAGGAGGTAATGTCAACCAGCCGGGCTCGCGGCAGCAGTGTCAATCTGCCCATGGCTCCACCTTCTCTGGACAGTACTGCCAGGTGTTTCTTCAGCAGGTAATAACATCAACCGTCATTTGAAAAGTTAAAACCTTGTGTTGGCATCTAGCTACAACGATGGGACATTTCTATTTCAATGACAGTGTTTTTATTTACCTAGGAAACAGTCCACTATTTTGTGGGTATTTGTCTTCCTGACTCCTGCAGGGAAGAGGATGTGGAAATGCTCGTGCTATACGGTCAGTGATTCTAAAACCTAGTTAGTCTCGACTCTCTCAGTCCGAAATGTATTTGTTTTAATATTTACTTATTTTAACAGGGAGACTTCAGTTCGGTCAGACGTCCCTCATTCCTCCTTTTCCTTCCATCCTGGTCAATCAGTCCACTCAGGCACTGATGATGACCCACTGTTTGTCCAACACCGTTTCCCCAGATGCATTAGACGTCACCTGCCTGTCAGTATACTCTCTACTGAATTATTTCCAGTATTTCCAGAGTATTGAACTGGAGATGTGTTTCTTTACGTTTGCAGGATTTCATCTCTTGGATTCTAATATCTAATATACTGGCACCTTTTCTCCTGCAGGTTTGTGTGTTGCATCATGGTCATGATTCCTCTTGCCGCCACCCTGTTCACCGCCATAATAAGGTGGCAAAGGAACAGGGAGGTCAGTCCGTCTCTTGAGTCTTCCCCTATAAACACTAGCCTCGACCTTTATGGGACCCTGAAGAGCAACGGCTCCTCTGGCAGTGAAAGGACTTCAGACGAAAAGGGTAAGTTCACAGAGATTGTCTGAAAATTTAGCAGGCGACAAGATCAGCAGGCAATAGATAATGAAATAGATATTGAACTAGGGTTGTCGCGATACCAAAATGAAACAAAATAAGGTCCTGTAATATAAGGCATTATAGTTCATGCAAAACTTTTCTTTGATTTGCTTCGGTTCTTTTCGAAATAAAAAAAGTTATGGAGATTCCATAATTTAAAACATGCATTACTGAAAAATGATCTAAGTATTGATACTTTTGACAACCCTACTGAATACAGTAAAAGTACACATTGTACTAAAATATGTTAATGGTAAATTTTGAAACGAGATATAAAAGTAATTTATGTGCAAGGCAATGTCAATAGTAATTTCCAGGTGCATTAGCCAAACCTTAATATTTATAAAATGCTTATTTGTTTGTATTATAATTGTCTTCGTAGATAGCACCAGCCACACACCACTGTGTTTTCCTCGCAGCTGTGTGAACTGGTGCCTGCAGGTCTTTTCTCTTCAGAATACCAGCCAAGGTGTCCTGAGCACCTCCTCATCCATCCCAGGAGGAGGCTACTCCTGCCTGAACGGCATCCGTGTCCTCAGCCTGTTATGGATCATGTGTGGCCACTCCACCCAGTTTTCCGTCATGTACAACCTGGGTATGAGATACTGGTATTTGTTCATTCAGTTTGGAAGTCTCACCATTACTCACATATCATTGTACCTATATTTTATGATCTCTATTGCAGATAACAAGAAAAACTGGGAGAAAGCGGTAAAAAGCAGCCCTCTGTATGTGATTGCCTTCGCTGGACCCGTTTTTCTGGCTGTTGACAGCTTTTTGCTGCTGGGGTGAGGTGAAGCTTAAAGACAGTCGTGGAATTAACAAGCGCTGAACTCTGAACATTTTCCTACAATTTTCTGGAGGGGCTGTATGTGAGAATACGAGGGTTCGAGGCAGTTCTAGAACTTTCAGCCCTCTTGTCAATTGTCTGGAAAAAGTCCAGGTAGGCCCATGTGAGAATACAACAGTGAAATGTATGGAAAATTCTGGAGAGTGGGCGTGTTGATGACGTTTCTAACATGAAAAGGACGCATTACCCCAGACCCCATTTTCTGGATATTATATTCCAGTGTTCATGACTGAAAACAGCTAAAGTGTATCTGTAAAAGATGATTTCATGATTTTATCAGTATTAATGGCAGCTTCTGGGTTTCAGGGGTCTGCTCAGTGCCAGGTCTCTTCTAAACTCCATCAACAGGGCTGATGGTACACTGAGCATCTCTTTGGTGGCCAGCTACCTCCTCAACAGAATTAAAAGGTACAACGTTTTTATCAAACCTGTGTCACAATGTTATGTTTTTCTTATCAGAATTTAGACGCCCTTCATTTAAAACATGACAATTTAATACAATTGTTTCTTCTGTTTCTTTCATTACAGGATTCAGCCACTGCATCTGTTCATTCTGTGTTTAACCACTGGCCTCACCTCTTTAGTCCGGGGGGGGCCCTACTGGTTCCAAATCATGGAGACAATGGCGGACTGTAAGACGTACTGGTGGGGGAACGTACTATTGATTATCAATCTCCTCACATCCTCACAGCCGGTAGTAATTTTAACCTTTAAGTCTCTGGTTGTCAGTTGGAAATGTATTTATATATATATATATATATTGACCCACTGTATTTCCTCTCGTCTCTCTCCAGTGCATCCCTTGGGCATGGTACTTGTCTCTTGACTTCCAGTGTTATGCCACTACTCCTCTGTTGCTCTATTTTTACAAATTGTATGTCCACTGTGCTTTCATATTATTTCAAAAAATATTTCTAATTTGCTATGTTGTAAAACAGGCAGCACCTTACACATATGTAATCTTACCCCTCCTATCTGGTGTTTATCAGGAACAAAGGTGTGTTTGTGGCTGTGGCAGGAGGCCTGATGCTGATGACCATTGCTTCTGGTGCCATTACGACCGCGCTCCTGCAGCTGCCAGTCTTCCAGCCATCTTCAGTGTAAGATTGTGGTCCAGTGTGAATGCAACTAGGAACCAAATCTATTTAATAATTCCAGAAATCTGTCTGTCTGTCTGTCTGTCTGTGGCTCGCATATCTCGAGAACTGTTCATGATCGCAGCTTCACACTTGGTTTGCATTTTGTTTGGGGCCAAAGGAAGTGCAGTGTTGAATTTGGTGGGTTGTGGATATGTGTTATGTTCAGTATCGCTCGTTCAGGCAACTTTATTCTCTTGCCACTTCATTACAATTGAATCCAATGTAAAAGACAGTAAAAGCTAACAAGCGATTCCGTCTGTTTCTTTTGAATTAAAATAAATATTGTGTTTGTTTATTTTTGTAGATTTCATTTGAATTATGGCTTACATTACTATGTGAAACCCTACACAAGATATGGACCATTTTTAATTGGGATCTTGACTGGAATATACTTGACGACAAAGAAGGATCAGGTCCTAAAGAAAAAGGTAAGAAAGTTTGATTATATTGAAAGGCACCAGCTTATTCTTAAAACGGGAATGTTACCATCACATGCTCATAATGTCAGACACAAATACAAGTCACTATGCTGCCATCATGTGTGATCTTGCTATCCTTGCTGTTGCTGCAGTGGCAGGCAGCACTTGGTTGGTTCTGCTGTCTTTCAGTTATGGCTGTGGTGGTTGGATTAGCCTACGTCCTACAGGAGGAGCCAACGTCTCTGTCTTTGCCACATGCCCTCTATCAAGGACTCCACAGACCGCTGTGGGCTCTGGCTGTGACCTGGATCATTGTGGCCTGTGAGGAAGGTTACGGAGGTAAACAAAACCCGAGTAATGAGTCCAAACATTTTTTCAAAGTGTAGCCTGCTCTTGCTTTACCAGGATTGCGAATGTGAGCTTCAAGCGTACTTTTGTACAGTATACAAGAACAAACTGGGTTCAGTTGTAGCACATGTGTACATTTCTTGAGATATTTTATGTATTAAAGCAATTTTTTTCTGATCTTCCAGGTTTTATCAAGAGCTTCTTGTCATTGGGTTTCTGGCTTCCACTTTCCAACATTAGTTTTGCGTGCTATCTGTCACATCCTATTTTCATCATCATCTACATCGGCCTGCAAGAGACCCCGATCCACTACACAGACCTAAACTTTGTAAGTGGTCTGTTTCATTTAGTTTCATAAACCCTAAGGCTGAGGCAGAATTCTCTCTCTCTCTATATATATATATATATAAAAATACTATTTTAACTTAGTGCACTGTGTCTCCTCTCTTCATCAGATGTACATGTTCCTTGGCCATGTGGTGCTGACGCTGGCGGTGAGCTATGTGCTGACTGTGCTGATTGAGAAGCCCTTCCTCCTTAAATACACTCGTACATAGATGCATGTCAGAACACAATAGAGAACCTACATCCAGTCGTTATACCTCCATTTCTATATTCTGTTTGTTTGTGCTTTATGAGCTGTGCCAGTTTTCCTTGTGTAAATATGCTTTTACAGTTAATAAATAAAATGTTTGATACAAAAGTCCCAGAAAACACAAAACCTTTACAGTGATATATATTTAAATATTATAAAATACATTTGAGTTTTCAATGAAACATACAACCAACATCACAGATATAACATTTTTATATCATTGCATTATTACATATGCTAATTTGGGCCTTATTGATTATTTACCACATTACTGTATTACCATCTATACCTTTAATACATTTTATGAGATAATTATTAAATTAATTGGCCGGGCCTTTTCTGTCATGTCTCCCCCTCTTTGGAACAACCTCCGAGGGGGCATCTCGTTTAAAGACACTTTTTATACGTGTGCTTTCTCCGAGTTCTGATCCTACCAACTACTTATTTCTCATCAGTAATATTTTTTCAGTTTTGTGCTCTGTGTGATCTTCAAACTTCTCTTAATTATTTCCTATTGTTTGCCTCAAATTTTTAATTTTTAACTTGTTACCTTGTTTTGCAATGTACTATTTAAATAAAGTGTAATATTATTATTATTATTATTGTTCTCATTATTTCAACTTTCAGTGTAAATACTTGAATTATCAATTATATTTCAGTGAGGGCTATACTGCCATGTGCTCAGTTGTATAAGATTATTGCCAAATATGGTTTGGTATTTCTCTTATAAGACTTTGGCATAGTGAAGATGTATCTCATTTTATTCAGTCACCTGCTATGACACTCCTGCCTAAAGTGGTTTTGGAAAAAGCATCTATTAGCTGAACCTGTCACACACCAACACACCCACACAAACAAAACGTGGACGTGACGCACACGTCTTCCATGTGCAGCACCGTTCTCCTCCTGGCTCTCAACTGGGAAGTTTAAGGAGAGAAGGCAGACGCCAGGCCGAGACAGCCAGTGCAACAACATGGTGTAAAAATATATCCAGCTTGGGTAAGGTGATACCTCTCTCTCCATGACTACATGGGTCCAAGGGGCCACAGCCAATCCATAACCCTACAACAACATGCTCAAGAGGGTGTAACATGTCTGAGACTCTCGGAGCATTTTCAAGTCACGATGTGAACGTTTCAGTATTACTCATATCAATATTATTAATGAAAACAAAAAGTTTACTTCAATATTTACAACCTGTTCCCTGCACTACTTAGAGGCCACACACACACACACACACACACACACACACACACACACACACACACACACACACACACACACACACACTTTTAAAAGCTACATCATAACAAAATCAAAACATGTCCTGCCTCGTTCAAGTCTCAACCCAGTGTGACCTGGTCAGTCAGATGACATTATTTGTGTGTGTGTGTGTGTTGGGGGGGAGGTGGTAATTCATAAAGCTCATCACTGATTCCTCACCATAACAATTGTGACTTCACGTTTTATGAAAGCAGTTGCAGCTCTCAGATGAGCAGTAGCTACAAACAGTCTTTTTCTATCTCCACCGTTTTAAACTTGGAGCATAGCTGTTTTACTGGAGGCCGAGTCTCTGTTGTTAAACTGCTTTTTACAACGTGCTGATTTTAGTCGTAAAAGTATCTGTTCCATCTCACCTGTCACACGAACAATGATGTAACACTTGGTTATAAAACTGTCCTTGCTGTTATTATGAAACAACGTTTAGGAAGCGGTTTACAGGAAAATAATATGCAACATGGAATATACAGTAAGTCAAGTTAGATCCAATCAAAAGAAGTTATTGTCAGTGATGAAGATTTGGAAAGGCCTGGAAAAGATCAGTGACAACCTGCGGGTTCCGACAGGCTACAGATCAAGTAGTCCAGCAGCTGGTTACCTTAGCTTAGTTTATTTTAGCTTAGCTTATGTTGTCTTGGCTTAATTTAGCTCAGTTTTGCTTGTTTTGCTTGTCTTAGCTAAGCTTAGTTTAACGAAGCTTTGCCTTATTTAACGTATCTTATCTCATCTCATCTTATCTTATCATCTTAATTTAACGTATCTAATCTTATCTCATCTTATCTTATCTTATCTTATCTTATCTTATCTTATCTTACCTTATCTTACCTTATCTTATCTTACCTTATTTTATCTTATCTCATCTTATCTTATTTTATCTTATCTCATCTTATCTTATCTGCCCTACAAGAAAGCTAATAAGCTGGAAACAGTCACACACTGTCACATCAGGGCGAGCAAATTCACAAATAATAATTTTTCATTCAGTTGCTTTGCCAGTGCAGTTAGACAGGTGTTGCCCAAGAAACGTGACTCTCTGTGTCACGGGTGTATTTTAAATTAGGAAAAATAATTTCTCCAATCAAAAAAAGTATGACAGAGGGAAACACAGGGCAACATAGTCTATAATATAGAGTGTAGACTTTTAACAGTGGTATTTAAATGAAACATACTAGACAACGTCATAATACAATAGAAAATTCACAAATTTCTGCCCTGTATACAAAATGTACATACGTACAGGGACAAAAACTTGGTTGCATTCTTTGCCCAAATTGTTATTCTTAAATCCACTTCCACTCTTACTATATCTTCAGTAGAGTAATTGCGTAAATCAGGTCATCACCAAAATGTGTAAATATAGATATCCAGTGGTAAATATTCAAGATCGGCACATGCCTGCAATATCAGGTATCTGACTTTGTACTTGCGGGGGACAACAGTTAAAAATAGACTCACACCCCGAGTCCACCGGCTCTGCCTCAACTCCCACTGAAGTCCTAAATCATAGGTCTATAACCTCAACTTCACTGCCATGAGAAGGGTACGTACAACTTGCATGGCTGGAAATCCCCCTTCACAAGCTTGTTGACTGTTTTAATGCCTCGAGTTATGATAATACTTTAATGCTGTGTGACTCCACTGTGACTGAACTTGTTAGAGGTTTTGTATTTGTGCTTCTCTTTGGGGAATAGACACTGCCAGTTACACCGCTGCACGCACATTCTGCCGACATCATACACTTTGCCAAGCATCAGAATTAAATCCTTGATGTCATTTACAAATATAATGGATTTTGATGCATATTAAAAATACTTTTCACCTCCCTGCTTGTTTTGTAACCTCTCTTTGTCAAGAAAGTCTCATATTTAGATTCAGCATGTGGTGTTCCTTGATAAAACTGTGTAAAATGTACTCAGAAGCTCAGTTAGGTCACGTCTTTCAGGCAGAACATTCACATACAGAAGCTTTAAAAGATGCAGCAGGCTCTTGCTGGTGGGGGGGTGGTGTGTGACCGAGGATGGATCTATTTTGAAACAGACATTCAAGATGAAATCGAATTAAACTTTCTTGCTCTTGGCCACACATGTGCTGACAGCTTTATTGTTGTTTCTTTAATGTTCAGTACAGGTGAAGCTCAATTTAGTGCACTAATCAACTGCAGTGATTGATTTCTATTCAAAACTGAGGAATGTGCACATGGACAATCTGCAGGCCACAACCCCAAGTAAATATGGAGGCAGTCAACTGTAGGTGATTGTGATCGATGGAATACAAAAATAACGCCCATGAATTGATTTTTGAATCAGAGATTGGAGACCTAAAATTGTGTGAAATGTGTAAATAGCCAACGTGTGTTTGTCAAATAGACTCACCAAGTGGGACTCTGTGCTCCGTAGTAAACATTTCAGACTGGAGGACTCAGCGAGGTGTCCTTCAGTGCTGCAGGAATGTCACAAATGCAGGTCATGGGTGAAGAAGTACTGGTATTTTTCCAGTGTCTGTGCCACCAGCTCCTGCTCCTGCAATCTTGTGTATCAGGCTGCGTGTTTCGGAGCGTCCTCCCTTCAACACTTCTCATCAGGCATCTGCACGTATGTCCTGCTGCATGTAGGGAAAAACACAGGTTGTATTGTTTAAACATGTTGGTGCTTTGAAGACGCAGCTATAGTCTGACAGTCAAAACAAATCACTAATTGATTTCCTCCAGCAATAAGGAGGTTATGCTTTCATCTGTTAGTTATTAGTGTTATACAAAAACTTTTGATGGATTACCAACATTTTCCTTGATCTCTCAAAGGATTATTCATGGATCTTGATGGAAAATAATCTGATACGCGTAGGAGGCTGATATTTATTGTGTGTGTGCAATTTTATGCAGGAAAAATTATGCATTTTTTTCTTATTTAAATGTGTTTTCAAAAGGGGACTGTCGAGTCTCAAACAGACCTTTAAAGAACTGAGGATCGGTCAAAATATCCTCACTTTCCAAAAATGTTCTTGCAAAGATATAAGTACAGGAACACACACACACATACTCAAGTCATGTCTCAATGACTTCAGAGGACATTACATTTCATGATTTATGTTATGTACAATTAAGACAAAAATTAAGAAACAAATTTAGGTCCCCACATCATGAGAAATAACTGGATCACACACACAAACACACACACACCAGACGTCTTTATCAGCCGGGAGGTTTCCTGTTGATAAGGTTTGTCAAGTGGCCTTTTAAAGCTTCTAAAATGCAGGAGACATCGTTCACAGGGGCATCTGCATCTGCACTTAAGATAATCATGTCACACAAAGTGACAGCTAGAGGGAGATAGTGGGCCTGACTTCAAATACTTCCGATTACGGAGGTAAATATACCCACGAGACTCAGTTTAGAGGCTATTGACCGTCTGACTTTACTAGGTTTTTATGAGATATTCAAATGTTCTGGTTATGTCTTCACTTTGCAGGCGCTGACAGCAAAAACTCAAGGATACAGCTTCACCCTAGGGAGAGGAAATGTGACCAGGCAAAAACAAAATTCAGCCTAAAGTTGCTGTTTGACAGCTGCTGTCTTGCTGCTGATAACTCCTCGAACAGTTTCCGCTAGAAGTCCTGATGGACGTGTCACTCCTTTACACCGATGACCAAACACGGTCAGTGGTGTCTCTCTCAGACAGCCAGACGAGGGGTTTGGACTCTATTTCTCTTTTACGCAGTCCTGCTTTAAACACTCCGTCTGCATGTGAGACAGGAACAGAGGCTGCGCCTGAGCTCTCAGACCCGGCTGACAAATCTTCTGACGCTTTAACAAAGGTCTCCGCATGCCTCCCTCATGAGAAGAGCACTGACTCAGACTGTTTGAAGCTTTCATCATGCAGCTACAATTTCTCAGATTGTTTGTCACCTCACTCAGAGCTTGTGCAAACGGATGATGACCTCAGGGTTCAGGCTTATTTTGGCTCATCAGAACCTGTGTTGCCTCTGTTACCTCACCTGCCTCACAACCTTAATTCACCGCCAACTAAAACTTTCTCAGAGTTTTACACTGAACAGGACTCATCCCTCACCTTTCCTCTCATTCAAGAACCTTTTGCGGCCGGGTCACATGTAGAGGGTTTGATGGAACCGTCTGTCTCTGAGCCCCTCACCAGGCTCAGCTTCAGCTCTGAACACAGTCAAGCCGCTTTTCATTTGAGTTTATCATCGCCTCACTCTGACAGTTCAGGAAGTGACGCAGCTGTAGTGCCTGTGTCAGACCTTTATATCTTTGAGAGTGAGACACAAGACTTTATCCTGGACCCCAATGTATATCCCCATGAGATTATATGTCCCGATTTCAAGGCGTCATCACAAAAAGAAGAAAAAAAGACAAGTAATGTGTGTGCTTCAGCAGACGCGCTGAGCTCTACTGAGGAACAAGCTATAGTGGATTATGAGTCAGACGTGGGACATCACGCAGGGCTTAGACCACCTGCTGTGGATGATTGCGAGGCAAGCTTGATTTCAGTAAATGATGTGAGACGATGGACTGCAGGGGTCACTGGTTTAACCCCAGAGACACGACGGAGCAATAGCCCCATCGAGCTGTGGCTGGACGCATGTCAGTATCTGGCAGGTGAGGACAAAGAAGATGTTGTGGACAGGATGAATCATTCTGTGATGCAAGACAGACTCACAGTCACCGGTGACTCTTTTCCCCCTGGAGAGACACAAGAGTCGGGTTACAACCCAGAAGGAAGCGAGGGGATTGGCTGGTCCAGTGAGGACAACAGAGGCTGGGGGCCACCGGTCGAGAGGTGGTCTTCAGTGGACAGCTGGGCAACTGCTCTCTCAGACTGGACTGGGATCATCACAGCTTCACCAGACGACATCACAACTGCCTTCACAGAGATAGGGGCTGAGATACAGGCTTTGACACAGGCGCTAGCAGAGGTTAATACTCATTCAGACACAGAGGAGTCAGCGCAGGCACAATCCCAGCCAACTATGGGCGTCCAGGATCAGCTTCTAGAAGCACAAAACGCCCCAGAGAGCTCCATCCTTTCTGGGCAGGGTTGTGTCTCCGCAGCTGCAGGACCAGAGCTCCCAGACAGAGTGGGCTCCCAGAGCACTGAGTCTTTGTGTGATTTTACTGCAACCACACAAGGAGAAGAGGAGACAGAAGAAATCCAGAGCAGCCACACTGAACCTTTTCTGTCCTTTCACTCATCCACGGTTTCATCCAGCGCCATGCTGGCCATTCCTGGAGGATTCAGCATGACTGCAGCCCCACTGAGCCTCGGATCTACTTCCTCCACTCATTTGGATCTCTCTCAGTGTGGTGGATGTGTTGACCCCTTAGAGACAGAACTTTTCATCAGCAACGAAGATCCAGTCATACTTAATATAACAGAGGAGACAGATTTGGAGGAAGCAGATGCAATTAAAGAGGTAAGAGGACACAATGTAATGATTCATCATTTGTTTGTTTGACAGGTGAATGTTTGAGCTCTGTTTGTGAAAAGCATGAAAGAAGAGTGGATGTTTTACAACCAAACTTGGGGACACATGTTTTTTGTTTGTTGGTCCCACACGCAGAGACGCTATGCCTGACATTCACCCTTCACAATAAAGAGAATAACAGTGATCACCTTCACGTCAGTCGCGCTGGCCAACAGATTAATCATGTGCTCTGGAAACATAGCCAGAACATTAGACATTCCCACTCCTGCCCTTGTCAGTGTTGTCATACCAACAGCATTGATAGCCAGTCAGGAGATCCGCGCAGTAAAATCTATGTATGTCACCACGCATGACACTCACAAGGGTTCTCGCCTTGCTCTGAATTGAGGCCTCCCACCCGGGCATGATTCCGTTTTATTGGATAAGTCCCTTGGCTCCCATCTCAAAGACGGACAGCTGTGGGAGCTGAAGGAAACGAGTGCCTGTGAGGAAAACTTCAGATGGACAGAAATGGCATCTAATTATAGCTGAGAGAGTTCAATGATAATAGCATGCATCCATGGCGTGTCAGGGGATGGTGGTGGGGTGAGAGGATGCCACAGCTGATGGCTGAAACTTGACCCACCCTTGCTCTCTCTCTCCCTCTTTTTGTACGCACCCCTTGTACACACCCATTCCCACCGCATCTCCTTTAAAACCCCACAACCAGTACACTGACAGGTCCACAGGCCTGGGACGCTGCTTTTGATATTAGGTGCGCAAGATAGAGCTGGAGCTCCTGTTTATAATAGTTGTACTGTAGGGTTCATTCGCTTGTAGGACATATGGACTCTAGGATTGGATATAGAAACATTGTGTTTCATAAACGTCTGCTATGTGACTCTAAAGAAAGGTATGTGACACAGAAAAAAATAAAAAGTAAAGGTATGGTGTCGTAACCTTCTGTAGAATCTATGGAAGTACAGCTGTATTACATATACAGTATAAATACTATCATATTACAATCTCAGTGAAATATGACAGACATGTATTTAAACGTGTGATATTCTTGTCAAGAAAATGTCAATAAAATATACAATCTCTTAAAATCAACTAACATTGTTGATTCATTTTCATTATCAGGCCTCAGGAGATGGACTGTGTAAAGTGACACATGAAAGCAGTATTTCCCAGCTGCATTTGTTGGTCGAGCAGGACGCTGAAAGGAACTGTGGGCCGGCCAAGGTCAATAGAGGAGGAACCGAATCTTCAGCAGACTCTAACCTCCTCACCACAGGATCTCTGACCAACTCACACGTGCCAGGTGTGGACACACAACCTGGCCTGCATGTTCACACACACGTGTCGCCTGACACTTCACCAGAGCTTGACGGAACATGTCAGGTGGAGCCACAGGGGGGGAGTCCAAAGTTTATTATGCCCTCAGCTCCCCTCAGTAGCGGCTCCTCCCACGTATGTTGGAAAGGCAGCAATTTGGACAGAGATCAAATTTGTGCCCAAAGGTTTCTCGATGACAACAGAGACCTGAGTTGTGACCACATACAACCCTGCGTTCTCTGGCAAACCTTACATGGGTTTACTGGCAAACTGTCCTCAGAAGGTTATGAGGAGCTGATTCATAAAGAAGAGAATACAATAAACTCTGCTGAGAAGTCTTCACCAGAGGGACAACTGGACTTACACTCCGGCAACAGCTCTGAGTGTTTTTTCACAGAGAGAAAGACAATAATTGAGGAGATCAATGACCTCAGTAGAGAACTCTCAAACTTGGCTGTTGTACCTGCAGATCACTTCGTCATCTCAGAAAAAAGCTGTGTCGCAGTCATCACTTTGGACTTAAATGACCCATTTGTTTCCAGGCCTTTAAAGACTGTCGCCACAGCCGTACCATCTGAGGAGCCAGAGCTGATTCAGAAAACAGCCGAGAAGATGCCTCACAAATCTCACAAGCACACCTCGGAGGGTAAAACACGCTCCAAAAAGGACAAATCAGCAGGTCACCATCATGGTGCACATGCGTCCAACAAACAGGAGAATTTATCT